AAAATCAGTGATCGATTAGGTTATTGCTCGTTGAATCGCAGAGATAAAATATGAGCTTCAGTGAGTCAAACGAACAACAACTGCTATAGTTATGACAAGCAATATATGTTTTAACAAATAGAATACAAGCAGCTAGGAAAAAGTGATAGAAAGGTTGTCCAATAGTCACTAGCTTCTGAAGAAGACTGGACTAAAAAAATCCGAATGCACCTGAAAGGATCTAATCGATATATATATGTATATTTTTTCGCAACACATGATTTTTTTCAGGGTACACTTTATTGAAGCCCAGCTGTGTTGCGCTTAGCTTTTCTATGACACCTTTGGCAAAACCCCGGGTAATCCACAACCGGCAGAACGAAGACTGAGAGTGGATGAATAAACAATGAATGGTGAGATAAAACGAAGAACGCAGCTCACATGTAGAACAATACACATTGTTCACTATAATCCATGCTTTCTTTGCTTTTGTTAATTTATCCAATCCCAGGCTTCGTTCTACCAGTGGACACCGACCCCAAAACCTTCTTAACTTCTTAAATAAGTGTAAAAGACACGGCTTCGTATATAGATAAGATTTTCGAGATTTGTCTTCGATCACTTAAAAGTTAAAACAAATGGCAGTTTACTTACTGTTTTGCCTTCTGAGCTTCCAAACAATAGCCAAGAGAATTATTATAATGAGGCCCATTATTCCAATGGTACCTAAACGTCAGAAAAAAGCAAAACAAGCTTGATAACAGAAAACAAATGTATGTGAAAAATCACAAAAGGAAAATACCATATATTTACTCATTTCAATTAGTTTGTGCATACATGCTGTTGCGACGTATAATATTTGGCCGCGGGCTTCCTGGGGAGGTGCTGTGTCGTAGGGCCCGGGGGGGAGTGGAAGTGAGGAGTTGAGAGAGAGAGAGTTGACTGTTATACGGAAGGAGATCGAGACTGTCCTAGAATCCCCTCGGGACAGCCATAAAAATGTGTAAGTAATTGTTTGAGTTTGTTAGAAGTTTATTGACATTTTGGTGACTATAACTTTTTGATCCTACAGCGAATCGTGAACTTTTGTGAACCTATATTCGCGTGAACGTGTAAACGATTACGAAGGAAATATGTGATTGATGGACGAACCACGTTGAATAAAACCTTTGAAAAAACACGCATATCGACCTAGTCCCGAGGCAGAGCCCTGAAAACGCCTACACATGCACTCAATTGAAGAATCGTTGTCGAGTTCAGAAATTAAACATAGAACATAGAAGCTGAGACCGAAATGGCACATGGGAAGTACGTTAATTAGATGCATGCTGTGACCGGCGACCCGTGGCATCATCCACTGTTTTTTAATACGCGTTTGGCATTCTAAACCGACTGCATGGATGGCGCAAATGAATATGTTATGTCATTTTCCATGTGCCATTTCGGTCTCAGCTTTTATGTTATATGTTTCTGAACACGACAACGATTCTTCAATTGAGTGTATAATCAATATATTTTAAGACAACTGTGTGTTGTTAGCATGAATATCAAGGCCGGTCCATAAGCTTTATTAAGATAAAATGCATTGAAAACTAACTGTAGAGTGTCGCACTATCATTTTTTGGTGAAGGCAGTTCACGTCCTTTCTTTCCTTTCTCTGTGGAAAAATTCATATTGAGATAAATCAGTGGCCAAATGTTCATACACATATACGCATTCAATAAAACATTTTTTCAAAGCAGTCAAGGACCTTTATCTGCTTTTCTATCTCCAATGATATTATTTCTAAGTACCGTAATACATACCCACCTAGTGAGTGGTGGCTCCTAGCCAGCACAATCATTGGACCAGCCAAATCCTTATGAAAAACATTAAATGAAAATGTTAGCAATCACTGGCACACTAAGCAGTTAAGCAGTAGCAGTAGCAGTAGCAGTAGCAGTAGCACGTGAATATTCTGCATAAACTCGTGGCTAACACATAAACCTAAAATAAAGTATCAAGATCAATCACCTGTGTTTCGCCAGTCATCGCTCTTTCTAATATCTCATACAATTTGTTCTCTTCGAGTTTTACATTCTCAAATTTTCCATAACGTTTTCCGTCACCAAGAATGAATTCAGGATCTTGTTGGAATGCATCAGAGCTGGCGTTCAGTTCTGCTGTAATATAGTAATACAGGCCTTTTTGTTTTGCGGTTTTGTGGTCTGTTAAACTCGTTGCGTCAATTGGGGAAGAGCTGGACGTTTCTTTCACAATCACCTGATACTTTCTAAGGAAGGTATTATAAATACRATTAATTAAGGATAAAAACAACGCGGTTTGCCAGTTATTTTACATAAAAAATGTCAACACATCTTAATTAACTTCACTTGGACGAGGGCCACCCAGGGACGTATCAAGACGTTCATATTAATGGAGGTCACTCCCCACCCTTACAAAGTCATGCCAAGCTTTTTTTAGACACCTGGAATGGAGTAATGTTTAGTGTTGAGTGTATGASGTTACAGACACCTATAGAAATTCTTAWAAATATAATACATCCCATTGGAATATAAAGAAAAAACTTTAMCCAGTGATTATTAGATCCTTAAAGAWTATTTMATTGAAGTTTCGGTTGAATTAAATTTYGTGCTAGTCCCCCTTTAATGAGAAAATAATTACCTTATTTGTCCATTAATGTTTGATGCTGGCCATATCTTAATCTTAACACTTGTTGACGTGATGTTTACAATGTGAGACTTCCTTAACGGCTCTGGCGGGGCTAAACATGTAATACAACATAAACTAACTCTTAAATCCTAATCTTATTAGTGTCAGGAATTAATATTCTGAAAACAATGAAGAGACTGGAAAAAAAACAGGGGTTCCTAAATAGCCATGTAATAATAAAGTTGGCCAAATATCTATATGTGCATGCATGTATATGTGCATTGCGCATTTGATCATATGTTTATCAAATGGAGCTGATCCTCGCAGTATATCAAGCAACTTATATTTTGCAGCTGCAAATTGAAAATTCTGAGTCTTGAACGGGATTTGCGTGGTTTGGCTGGATGCGCTGAATTTGGGTTTGCAGCTCAATTTGCAGCTCAATAAGTTGCTTGACATACTGCGAGAATCAGCTCAATTTGATAGAGCGTTTTCACTCACGTGAGAAGGCAGCCATAAACAATAGAAACTTTCTGCTCAGTATTTGTATAAAAATAGAGTTCAATTCCCAGAGGATAGAAAATGTATTGTTTTGATACTCCATAATGGCCGCTGTGACGTCACGTGAATAACCTCTATACATTACAACCGCAGTTCAATAAATAGTTTACATATGTTATCATGATCATATACGTGTATCGAAAATGGCGCACGAGTAACAAACAGTATCATTATTTTATTCTACGAGACAGTAGATTAAAATTAGCAGCTTACCACTTTTCTGTGTAGTTGCCATCACATAAATGCTTTTCTCGCCTCTTCCACATCTYGTTATAGCTGACACTTCGAACTTGTAGTTCGTGTCTGGATAAAGTTTGTCAACTTGRAATTTTTCCAAAGAATTGGTAGAAACCCTTTCATCGCTGTGCAGAAAGCTGTTGTTATAAGTCTTCGTCCCCAGCAATGTTATCTGTAGTGAAAAGGCAAAAAATGACAATGATAATAATAATGATATAATAATAATAATAATAATAATAAATAAATATTTCAGTTTTTACTAGGAGTTTCACAGGGATGCCTCAGACCGCAGGCCTATTTTTGGTAAATAGGCCGAATGTGTTTGCCGTAGTATCGGATAAACCACRAAAGTATCCAGAAGGGTGTTGCTGGAAGAAAGTTAATGATGCACACGAACAGCAAGAATACACCTTGTTTGACCTATAAATATGGGCGATTTAGGTCCCCAGAGAAATAATTGACTACACATTTCTATGGTTTATGTTACCATTTCAAGAATTGGTTCTTCAAATTAGGTATGATATTTTAACTGAATTTCTTTTTTTCCCTTACCTACCGTCGATCAAAAAGCTGTAATACATAATATAGCTCAATTCTACTGTGAATAACTTGATGGATAAGAGGAATCTGAATAAATGGAATATCTTAAGACAACATAAACAAAAAGAACAATTTTCATTGTTACTTACGGCATATTTTTCAATCGGTCCGATGACTGGTAAAGGCTTTTTCCATTGCAAAACMACTTCCCTTTTCGCAGCAGTGCCAAATATTGAAAGTTCCGTTGGAGCACCAGGTGCTATTGCCAGTTAAATAACAAAATATATGCATCATGTAACAGGGCCGCAACTAGGAAGGGGAACACAGGGTGCACGTGCACCCCCCCCCCTCCCCCATAAAAGCTTAAGGTCCGCTCACCCATCTCTTTTTTTTTTGTTGTTTTGTTTTGTAAGTGCACCCGCTCATAAAAGTTGAAGGTTCGCTCATCCATCTCCTTTTTTTTTTTTTGTTTTTTTGTTTTGTTGTTGTTGGTTCTGCCTTCGCTTGGTACTGAGTTGGTAATAAAAAAAAGATCAATGGTCAGATTTTATTCGACGTGCACCCCCTTCCCTGTAAAATTCTGGTTACGGCCCTGTGCAATAGGCCATAAGCTTGGAATACAGTTGAAATTCAGAGTTAAGAAGAAAGTGCCCGAAACAAAGTGACCAAAACAACACTTGTATTAAGCGGAACAGTGGCGGATTCAGAACGATTTTAGGGAAGGGACGAGAGTTAGGTAGCTGTTGCCTAGAAAACGATCCCATATTGTCTTTTTTTAGGTTTTCCTTTATTCTTAATTTTCGTATAAGTCAGATAAAGATGGTAACCTTTCCAATCCACCTTCCTTGGATCCACGATTAGGAAACTTTAAAATCCTGATCTCGCAATCATAGCGCTGTTCTTCCTTTTTAAGTTATCGGGGAAGGGGGAATGGACAATGTAGACAAAACATTTGGGTCCCTATGCATTTTCTGTATTTATTCACAACATTTTCTTTAAATGTCTGGTGACCCTAGTACGAAGGATTATTCAGAATTTCTGGACGCGAACCACAGGCAATTCARCTAACTTATTACTTACCAGACGTGAATATACTCATTGGCTGACCATAAGGTCCTGCTCCAGCAGTTGTATATCCTCGTATAGATACGTTATATATTGAACATTCCTCAAAGTTATCAAGAGTTGTCTGAGATACATTGGAGTTAACCATTTTTCTGTTAATTGTAGGGTTTGATGTCKGTATCTTAGTCCACATGATCTCGTACTTTATGATTGGTCCATTGGCTTTGTCACGTGATATTGGCTGCCATGATAAAACAAACGTTGAGTAGGAATCTTTCTTGGACGAAGACAATATTCGAGGTGAGACTCTAGGTGCTATTCAAAAAAATATTTWAAAAAAGACAAGAAAGTCTTATTTAAAATAACGTCACGATGTTAGGCAAGTGTCTAGACAAATGTAAAGGTATTTGGTTTGAGGTAGACCWATTGGAAGAACCGATAAGGCTGAGTAACAACCATGGCCTTGTATCAAAAACATTTTTTCTTTCTTCTCCTTTCGTCTTCAAGGTAACTTGAACGYATTTGCTTGTTTGTGGATTTTAGGCTTATTTAGATTTTATTTTACTTTTGTTAGGTGGTGGTAGCAATATTTATGCTGAATCAAAATCATTACTTTTCCCAAACCATGTAAAATCATCTCCTAAAAAGTATTTTCTCGACCTAGGCTGGATTGT